CTGAAAAATCTAGCTAGTGCTCACAGGTGAGACTCTTCTATTTCTCTTTCCCTAATGTTTGCATCCCAATTCAATCTACTTCCAGTCAGCAGCCCCGAGAGGCTGTCTAAAGTCAGTTGTGTTGCTTTGGTTTAACTATAATGAAACAATAAAATTTAAACACTACAAGGGGGCTTCAAAAGTTGGTGGAAAACCACTGAGTATTATCCAATCTGTCTAGGTGGGGCTAATGAAAGGAAATGCGGATAGGTTTCTTGTGATACAACAGTGAATAATTGTTATCAGACTGATTGTGAGGGTTGGAAATGTAAAGGTAGACGTTTTCTAGCAAGGAGGGGAATGATTTAACTTTTCAGCCTAGGAGCAGAGGTCCCTGGGACCATCAAGTGAGAAGAGCGGAGTGCGGGACCCTACCCAGAGAAGCAGTGACACCAGAGATGGAGGCAGAGATGGTGACGTGGAGTGATGGAGCAGCTGGGGACTTTAGACCCAGAGAGGGAGAGGGGCTGTGTGCTGACGATTGGGGGGCAGGCTTGTAGGGTATAACCTTTAGTTGGTTGATGATGCATGGAGGGTATTGTAACCGTGGCAATGAAATGATATACGATAGGATGAATGTAAAACTAATGTTCTCCCATGTAAACTATCACATAACTCACAATAAAACATTAAAAAAAAAAGTTGGTGGAAAAATAGAAAGAAAAGGTATTGGAATTTGTTCATGAACTTTTTGAACACCCTCATATGATTTGTTCATGAACTTTTTGAACACCCTCATATGTAGTAAAACAGTAGTCCCTAGACTTGACAGCACTTAATAAGTGGGCTCCTGGTGTGGTGCTGCAGGATCAGCACTGGACCGCAAATTATAAGGCTGGTGGTTCAAATCCACCTGCTGGCTCCTTGGAAACCCTGTACAGGGTCACCATGAGTCTGAATCAACTTGATGACATTCAACAACAACAGTGGTGGAGTGAGATGGACTAATCTTAAGAGATGGACTATTAATCTTGACAATTCAAACCCACTCAGATGCACTTTGGAAGAAAGCTATAGTGATCTTTAAGGTCACAGCCTCGAAAATCCAGTGGAGCAGCTTTACTCTGCACACAAGAGTCACCAAGATTCGGGATGGACTTGACAGCAAACAACAACATGTAGTAAAACAAACGGCAAGACTAGTGGGGCACATCATTAATGGCTATGTAAAATGAACCCTATATCTCTACTTTCATTTTCTATCAATATTCTATCATTCTATGTCATATGTACTAAATGCTCCTGAGACATTCTGAGACAGCTCAGAAACCAAAGCCTTTGAGGGTTCTTGAGTACCATTCTCGGTATTACAACTGAGTAGTACATTTATCTTGCAGAACTTCAATGACCCGTTATGCTAGGTAGTTCACACTGCATTATGAACTCTTTGAATCTATATCAGTACATATCATCAAGCTTGATATGTATGCTCTAAAATAGTGGTTCTCAGCCAGGAATAATAGTGCCTCTAAGAGATATCTGACAATGTCTGAGACCTTGTTGGTTGTCACAGTCAGAAGAAAGCTACTAGTGGATCCAGTGATAGGAAGCATCTAGTGGATAGAGGCCAGAATGCTGCCAAACATCCTACAATGTAAACCACAGTCCCTCACAACAAAAAATTATCCAGACCAAACTGTCAATAGAACTGAAGTTGAAAACTGCTCTAAAGACTTGCTGAATTACTAAAATAAATGGGAGTGGATTAAAGAACATGGTTGTTGTTGTTGTTGTGAAGTGGCGTTGAGTCGGTTCCGACCCATAGCGACCCTGCATAGGGTTTCCAAGGAGCGACTGGTGAGCTTGAACCACCGAGCTTGTAGTTCAAACAGCTTTGCAGTCTGGCACATTAACCCACAGCGCCACACCAGGACTCCAAAGAACATGGTAAGAGATATAAATGGGAGGGGGGGGGCAGGGGGAGGGGAGCGGTAGGTACCTGAACTTCGAGACCCTTGTCATTTCACTTGACCATATGGGTTAAGCATCTGTAATTGTAATGGTTCATTTGGAACTTTTAAAAGGTATTAAAAATACAAATTATGTGACAATTAAAATGTATCAACATAAAATACTTCAACAGTAAAGCGAGAGAAAAATACTGCTTAAGGTTTAAATACAAAGCTATACATTTCTATGGTGGTGGTGGTTATGTGCCATGGAGTCAGTGCCGACTCATAGCGACCCTGTACAGGGTTTCTGAGGCTATGCATTTTTACAGGAGCAGAAAGCCTCATCTTTCTCCTGCTGAACAGCTGGTAGTTTCAAACTGCTGACCCTGAGGTTAGCAAGCCAATTCGTAACCACTATGCTACAGAGCTCCTTTCGATATTAAATAGGAAATCTCATTAACTGAGACTTCATAAATTACATGGATTCATATATTTCATTAATTCAAAATGTGCAATGGTAAATTTATAGACATCGAGTATGCCATCTACTAGTAAGTGATTTTTGGCAAACCAGAGTTTCTGCTTCTTTATCTGTAAAGGAGGAGGAAAACAATATTCTTAAGTGGGGTTCTGGAATGGCACTATAGGATAAGCACTGAATACTAACTGCAAGGTCGGCAGATCAAACCCACCAGATGCTCCTCAGAAACCACAGGGTTGCTATGAGATGGAACTGACTTGACAACACTTGAATAAAATGATAACGTATGTGTCACATTGTTGTGAAGTGCCCTCGGGTTGTTTCCAACTCTTACCAATCCTGTATAAGGTTTCCGAAGCTTTTTAAATCTTTGCAGAAGCAGAAAGCCTTCTCCGGCTCCCACAGTGGATTTTGTGGTTTGCAGTCCAGTGCTTACCACGTGGAGCCACCGTGATCCCATTATGTGTTATAGGACCTCAATGAATGTCAGTTAAAGCTAAATTCAATTTAGACAGCTGTTGTTAAGTACCGTGGAGTTGGTTCCAACTCATAGTGACTCTGCACAGGGTTTCCGAGGATCAAAGAAAAAGTTTTAAAGTGTTCTTCCTTACTACTACTACTTTTTATTGCCAGCCAGTCTGTACTGTGTATCTGTGTTATTATTTCATTGGTTAAACTGTAGGTTAATAGTACACTTTAGTGGCTACTAGCTAAAAACATCAAATGGTGTATTTGGGCTATTTCCCTTTTCTGAGGACCTAACACAATGTTCTATGGCAAATAATCACCAATACTCTTACTGCCAACTTACAGAAGGAGGAGCACCTGCCCTATTAAAAACTACTTGTGCAATTATAAAGTGTGAATACATATCACCCCCATATCTGCTGATAGATCCCAAATCAACATTCATCATTTTATACAACAATTTACAACAGCCAGGCAAACAACCAGAATCAGGTTGCCTGAATCAAATGGAACCAGCAGAGCTCCAATAAAAGAAACATGTATTTGCAAAACCCCAAAAGGTAATTTACAAGGCTATGAAGGAGCTCTGGTACCATAGTAGTTAGGAGTTGGACTGCTAACCTCAAGGTCAGCAGTTCAAAACTACCAGATGTTCTGCAGGGGAAAGATGAGGCTTTCTGCTCCGGTAAAGATTTACAGCCTCGAGACCCTATGCAAGGTCACTATGAGTTAGAAGCGACTCCACGGCACACAACCACCACCAGTGGTTATTAGTTAGAACTGATTCGATGGCACTTAACAATACATTTCTCATATCGGAATTGAAATAATCATCTTACATGGGGCAATGTAACGGGAGCAATCATTTCTAAGACTGGACTGTAGGATAAGAATTGATTACTAACTGCAAGGCTGGCCCTTCAAACCTACCAGTTGGTCCTTGCAAACAGTATGCGGGGTAGCTATGAGTGAACCGACTTGACAGCACTTAATAACAACAACACAGGCATTACACAATGTCACGTGCTCCACCAGGCTTCCTCCTCCTCCGTCACCGCGGCTCTGCAAGCCCCTATGGTCCTGTTTGGGAGATGCCCACACTTGTCCACAGCTTCTTAACAGCTGCACACTGGCTTCAGAGCCCGTCCCCGCGGCTTTGGCAGTAGTTTGATATGTTCTTCCTCAGATCTTTCTGGACCCCCCATTCTACAAGTCTTGGCTTGGGAACCATTCCTCAAAGATGGCTTTCCTTGACCAACCCAACTCCAGATTTTCTCAGTTCTTCCGCACTCATATCACCTCTTCTTCGTGGACTCAAGTATCACACATGATGGACTTCCCATAACTATCTGCTGAACGCATTCTACCTCCAACCTCGGCTCTTAACTTGGAGGTCACGTTCCTGGGCAGTGCCCCTTTCCCACTTTGTGCCTGTCCCACGACTGTCCAGAACGCGCATCAGAACCCAAACACTTTTCAATCACGGAGCGACTCTGAGTCAGCTGCTGAAATTTCCCTTCCTCGGTTTTGCCATCAGTGAAAGGAATAAACAGTATAACACAACGCAATCAATAGGCAAAAAAAAATATCAAAGCAAAGCAGTCAGAGGCGTGGGCCGTGGCTAAAGCTACAGCGGTCAAAGATGTACTTCTTGTTATCAAGTGCCATGGAGTCGGTACCGACCCATAGCAACCCTGTATAGAGGTTCCGAGAACGGCTGGTGAGCTTGAACCACAGACCTTACGGTTCAAACCGACCTTGCGGTCCAGCGCGTTAGCCCACAGCGCCACACCAGGACTCCAAAAATGTACTGGGTAGAGTATCTGGGGGAAATGTTCATGCTTTCGGCCTGTCACTTGACACACTTGTCCTTTCCCGGCGAACCAAACGGCTTCCTCCTGTTAGAGGGGGCTGCCCTGCGTTTCAACCGCAGAGGAAAGGTCATCCACAAGTCTGCATTCAGATCACTTCTCCCGAAGGCCTCCCAGTCCTCCTCCTCCTTTCTGCTTCATCAGAGCAGTGCCCGTGGCTAACAGACCCCATCTATCCGCTCTCCAAGGTTCCCGAGACCGCGGGGAGGGACGCGGCGCCCAGTCAAGGACAAGAGGAGGAGTCACCCGAGCGAAGCAAGCGATCCTGCCAGGAAGCAAAACCGTGCCCAAGGAACTTCAGCTTTCCCACGTTAACACTATCTCACCTTCTCTCGTGAGCTGCAGAGGCTGTTCTGCTAAATGTCTGGGCGACACCGACCACTACCTACAGAGACCGGCCACTTATTCAATATGGCGACTCTGGCTAACACCGTCGGCCAGGCCTGATCAACGGAAAGTCGGGAGGGTCTGAAACTCCAGATTCGACAAATTCTCGCTGAGGTTAGCTCGGCAATTTCCGTAACTTTCCGTGCCGGGGTGGAGGCGGGTGGTGAGGGTGGAAGGGTGAGGAATAGAAGGCGGATCCGAGGAGAGGAGGCGGGGGCTGGAATCCGCAGTTCCGCCGGAAGCGACGGAGAGTTCCCAATTCCGTGAGTCTTCCGTCATCTCCGGTTCCCCAAGGGGAGGGTCTCCTTATCTTCTGGAGCCGTAGAGGTACACATTTAAGAAATGTCTATTATTAATTTCTTTCCAAGCACAAGGAAAATCCCTCAGATAATTTGTTAACCATTTAATTCAGAGCCGCAATTTTTACGTTGAGAAATGAGGGTGGTAACGTACTTTGACCTTTAACCTTCGGCCGGGAGACGCGAAGGGAACCGCCTCCGTCTCTATATAAGGAGTTTTCCGGCCTTTCACGGCCCTTTTTTCCCCCCCGTGGTTCTCTTGGCGCTCGGCGCTCTTTCTTTGACTTTCCTTCCTCTGCTGTCGTACAGCTCCTCATAAAGCTGACAACATGGGTTTTGGAGACCTGAAAACCCTCGCCGGCCTCCAGGTTCTCAATGATTACCTGGCCGACAAGAGCTACATCGAGGGGTGAGCGGACGGGCGGCGACGGGGCGGCGAGGGAGCGGGTCCGGGTCTGGATCCGGGGCCACGTGGCTCCTCGGCCGCTGCGAGGCCGGTGGCCTGGCCGGGGACCATTGGAGGGGAGGCGGAAAGCTCTGGCTTCCATCTCCAGAGGCCGCCGGGATTTCGGGGAGAGATAATTTAAGAAAAATGCGTTTCCCTTGCTAGTTGAAAGCGACGTTTTTTCCGTGTTTGCACATTGCTGCACTGCAAGGTCGGCGGTTCAAATTCATCAGTCTTTCCTCGGGAACTCTGTATAGGGTCGTTATGAATCGGAACGGCCTCGATGGTACTTAGCAACAACACAATGATTGTTAGCGAGTGCAGTCCTTGAGTTCCTACCTACTAAGTGGCAGACATGGCTTAGGATGGCACCGTGACCCAAATGAATGGTTCCTGCCTTTAAGGAGCTTATTTTAACACTTAAGCTGCTTAGGTAGCCTGGTGTTATTGGACGTGAGTTTCCACGGATTAGTTTAACAGCTTTTCTCATGTATTTGCTGGTGTAGGTGTGTAATTACTTTCGTTGCTTTGGCAGGTATGTGCCATCACAAGCAGACGTGGCAGTATTTGAAGCAATCTCGGGCCCTCCACCTGCCGACTTGTGTCACGCCCTACGTTGGTATAATCACATCAAGTCTTATGAAAAGGAAAAGGCCAGGTAGAATTTTCTTTGTATTTATCTGAAGACTAGAACTCTTTCTAAAGTTAAATCAGGGTTTTCGCATGGCGAAAATGGACCCAGGCTACTTTAGTTTGTTGGGATGATGTAAGCTTAAATTTATTTGTGACTTTAGAAGGCCGAGAGACTGAAGTCCTCCATTTTTTCACAGAACAGGTAGAACATGGACAGCAGCAGTTCAACATTTCCCCACACTGCCCTGCCAGTGTGCCTCGACCCTGACCTAGGGGGGCCACCTCTGGGGTGAGAGGGTGGCTCATTCCATTCAGTCCTTGGCCATTCTTCTGAAACTGCAAACAAGGGTGGAAGTTTGGGGAAGTGGAATCCAGTTCACTAAGAATGGAACTGAGCATACTTATTGAAATCTCAAACAGAAATGTTCATACTGAAAGAGTAAATCATAGTGAGTATTGACTGATGTCTCACATGGTACTGTTTGTTGGGTGAGGAGTTGAACGCATAAAAATATTTACCTGGGAGTGTGCTAAAGGGTAAATTTGAGTTCAAAAGGGGTCTGTTGATAGTGATTAAACATAAGTTCTCATGTATGGCCTGGAGGGAAGGACATTATCCCATCCTAACATTGGTTGAACTTGAATTTTTATCAAGCTTGCCAGGTGTGAAGAAAGCTTTGGGCAAGTATGGGCCCACTAATGTGGAAGACGTGACAGGAAGTGGAGCTGCAGACAGTAAGGATGACGATGACATTGATCTCTTTGGATCTGATGATGAGGAGGTAATGACATCTTCATATAAAAGCATGACTTGATGGGCAGTGTGTCGTCGTGCGTAAGCACTGACTTTGTAGCCAAATTGCTTTGATTCAAATTCTGGCTCTACCAGTTTCCTGCCTTTACAAAATTCTTACTGGTTATATGATGAATAAAACCAAATCACCATCTTTCGGCTGAGCTTCTGATGGATATGCTTTTTTCTGATAAAGCTGGTATGTTTCTTGTGATCCCACTAGCTGTAAGCTGATGAACAACTATGTAAAATGTTACATTTTTCTTTACAGGAAAGTGAAGAAGCAAAGAGGCTAAGAGAAGAACGCCTTGCACAGTACGAGTCAAAGAAAGCCAAAAGTAGGTCTTTTTATAATTTTTAATTAAACTTATAATAACGACGTATGAGGAGTCTTATAAAGCTTGATTCCTAAGAAATACTTTGTGTTCATCTAATACATCAGTACTTAAATCTTCATTGCTGGTAAAACTTCCACAGCTACTGGTCTGCAGCTGTTTCTATGGTAACAGTTGTGGCATTCCTCTGTGGGACAGAAACTGTTACATACTTAAATACCTCTTTCTTAGCAAAACAGAAAGTGGACATAATGTGTGACAGACACAAGACATTTTAGCTAGGAGATGGTCCATCTCAATAGTGTGTCACACTAGAGTGAAAAGTTGTTTGATCAGTCCTCTGTCTTGTTCTTTTTTAGAGCCTGCGCTTGTTGCCAAGTCTTCCATCTTGCTCGATGTGAAACCTTGGGATGATGAAACAGACATGGCCAAATTGGAAGAGTGCGTTAGAAGCATTCAAGCAGACGGCTTGGTCTGGGGCTCTTGTAAGTACACTTTTGCTTCTTAGCATCTAGAAGTTGCATATGGTTTTAACCTTCACCGATCAACACAACTTCCTAACTAACTGTGAAGTTAGATTACAATAAGAACCTAACTGTTGCACCTTGGGAATGGAATTGTTATTCATTTGGGGACTGCCTGTATCTCATGTAAGCAGGAATCAAACAATATTTGTCCTTTTGTGTCTGACTTCATTTATCTAAATACTTTTTTAAAAAAATCTCTTTTTAGCTAAGCTCGTTCCAGTGGGATATGGAATTAAAAAACTTCAGATACAGTGTGTGGTTGAAGATGATAAAGTTGGCACAGATATGCTGGAGGAACAAATCACTGCTTTTGAAGACTATGTGCAGTCCATGGATGTGGCTGCTTTCAATAAAATTTAAAATTTATCCTGAATGGTGCCATTTAAATAAAACTCTGAAAGACAACTCTTGACTCTTGGGTCTGTTGAATGTTGTTACGTGCTGTGGAGTTGGTTGCGACTCGAACTGACCCTGTACAGGGTTTCCAAGGCTGTAAATCTTTATGGGAGCAGAAAACCTCATCTTTCTCCCATGGAACAGCTGGTAGTTTGCAGCTGCTGACCTTAAGATTCCCGTAGCCCAATTCGTAACCACTGTGCTACCAGAGCTCCTTAGGATTCATTTAGGCACATAGTAATGTCAAATTGTGGACTAACATTTAGAAAGAGTGGTGTTAATAGGGCAAGTTTAAACTGCAAGGATGGTTTGAACAAGCCACTCTTGGGAAACCTTATACAGGCTGACTGAGTCTGCACCTAGCAGCATTTGGAAGGTGCTCTGGCTGCCCACTCTGGGAAAAAGAAGAAGCTTACTTCTGAGGCTGTAAAGGTAGATTTACAGCCTCAGAAACCCTATACAGGGTGGCTAAGAGTTGAGACTTGAGTCTGACTGGATGGGACACAGCCTTCTCCATCAGCATAATAATTGGCACTAAAGTGAGGGATTTAAATAAGCCAAGGTTAGAGTTCTATTTTGTGTTTACTAAAGTGGCAGTGTAATTTTGTAACCGCTCATCTTCAAGTTGGGACTGTTAAGTGCTGTTAAGTTAATTCTGACCCATAGCAACCCTGTATAAGGTTTCCAAGGAGCAGCTGGTGAGCTTTGAATCACCACAGTTCAGATGACTTTGCAGCCTGATGCATTACACAGTCCCATACCAGGACTCCAAATTGGGATTGCTAAGTGCTGTCCAGTTGTTTCTGACCCATAGCAACCCTGTATAGGGTTTCCAAGGAGGGACTGATGAGTGGGTGAGCTTGAACCGCTAACCTTGCAGTTCAAACAGCTTTGCAGTCTGGCAGTTTAACCCACAGCGCCACACCAGGACTCCAAATTGGGATTAGTCATGTTGAAAACCCCACTTGATAATACAAGCTATGAAATGGGACATACTAATAAATGGTAACAACCACTTCTAGTACGCTCAGCTGGGCTTGATCCATTGCAATGCCAACATAGTTGTGGGTTACAAGTATGAGTATTTCTGAACACTTAATTGTGTTCATGAGGAATCTACATGGAGCAAGAGGCAGTTGTTGAGCGTAACATGGAAACACTGGTTTGAAATTTAAGAAAGGTGTGCGACAGGATTGTATTCTTTCACCATACTTATTCAACCTGTATGCTGAGCAAATAATATGAGAAGCTGGGCTATATGAAGAAAAACATGGCATCAGGATTGGAGGAAGACTCATTGATAACCTGTGATATACAGATGATAAAACCTTGCTTGCTGCAAGTGAAGACTTTTATTTACTGATGAAGATCAGAGAAGTACAGCCTTTGGTATGGATTGCATCTCAATGTAAAGAAAACTAAAATTCTCACCACTGCACCAATAAACAATCTTATCAGTGGAGAAAAGATTGAATTTGTCAAGGACTTCATTCTTGGGTTGACTATCATCACTCACGGAAGCAGCAGTCAAGAAATCAAATGACTTACTGCATTAGGCAAACCTGCACAAGACCTTTGTAAAGTGTTGAAGAGCAAAGAAGTCAGCTTGAAGACTAAGGTGCACCTGACCCAAGCCATGGTATTTTCAATAATCTCATATGCAAGGATCTCTGGTAGTGTGGTTACGAATCGGGCTGCTAACCTTAAATTCAGCAGTTTGAAATTACCAGCTGTTCCGCTGGAGAAAGATGAAGCTTTCTGCTCCCATAAAGATTTACAGCCTTGGAAACCCGGTACTTTTGAGTTATGGTGTTAGAGGAGAATATGGAAAGTGCCATGGGTGCCAAAAGAACCAACAAACTTGTGTTGGGAAAAGTGCGGCCAGAGTGCTCCTTGCAGACCAGGATGACCAAACTTTAGTCTCTCATACTTCAGACGTATTTTCAGGAGGGAGCAGTTGCTGGAGAAGGATATGTTTGTTAAGGTGGAGGGTCAGAGAAGAAGAGGAAGACCCCCAGCGAGACTGACAAAGTGGCAGCATCAATGGGCCCAAGCATGGCAATGATAGGGAAGTTGTCCCAGGATCGGGCAGTGTTTAGTTCTGTGCATAAGGTTGCTATGAGTTGGTACCAACTCGGATGGCACCTAACAACAACAAATAGGTTACAAAGAGCAGTCAGGAGGATATGCTCAAGGCATAGTTCAGAATCATTCTAATGTCTTCTTCCACCTTACCTTCCACTGAATATCAGGAAAATCAGTGGGCATTATGGGTAGACTAGGTGGAAGAGCTATATGAATAATTGACTGCACTGTAGACAGCTAATTCCACTGGAGGATACTCATTCCAGAGGAGGGAAGTCAAATCAGGAAAGGAAGGCTTCCCAAAATTTGTCATGATTTATAATCATTTGTCAGTAATGTGAACGTTGTAAATTAAAACTAGTTTAATGCCCAGATTGGGAATACAGTACCTTTGGAAGGAAGTTGTATAATTGATTGGTTTCCATGCTGTGATTCTTGTGAGTGTGGAGACAGACAGGATGTGAGACATTTTCTTGTATTTAACAATCTAATTAAACCTGTTTTTGAGGGAACTTCCAAACAGAAGTAATTTGCAGGTAAATGTTAACAGGATGAAGCTGATGTTTAGTCAAGTGATAATTAGTAAAGTTACATCTTAATTTTGAAATATATATAAAATTTGATTAAATTTTTTCTAATAGTTTCTTTAAAAGAGCTTGGAAAATACTGATCTAAGGGTTTACTTTGTAGACAGGGGCCAAGGAGATTACTATTTGCATTAGATTATTTTCATACCAAGGTGGTGCTCTTCAGTCCCTTTTGGTTGCATTCTCTTTGTAGTGCACTATGGTTACTTAAATGCAAAAATTTGTTTAAATTCTAAAGAAAATTTTTTCAGATATGTACGTATGTATTGAATTGAAACCATTTTCACTACGTTGTTTCAGAGACCCTATAGAACAAGACAGCAGAAATCATAGGGTTTCTGAGACTAGTTTTTTGTGGAAGCAGGTGGCTTAATCTTTATCCCATGGAGAGCAGCTGGTGGGTTTGAACCACCGACCTTACTGTTAGCAGCCCAATCCACTACACCACCAGGGCTACTGTAGGGTTGTTACGAGTTGGAATGAACTCCAAGGCAGTGAATGAGTCACTAACAATATTTGCGATTTTAGCAGCTGTAAGGTGGTTGCTTTGGCTCATTGTGGCCCACTGTACAACAGAACAAAACACTGCCAGTCCTGTGCCAACCTCACAATTATTGCTGTGTTTAAAACCATTGTTGCAACCACTGTAATCTCATTGAGGGTCTTCATTTTTGCTAATCTATGTTACCAAGCATGTTCCCCAGGGACTGGTCCCTTCTAATGGCGTATCTAAAGTACAGGAGGTGAAGTCTTGCCATCCTCACTTCTAAGGGGGCATTCTGACAGACTTCTTTGATCTTCTGGTAGTCCATGGTATATTTAATATGCTTTGCTGACCTTGAAGTTAGAGGCATCAGTTCTTCAGTCTTCTTCATCACCCAGCTTTCTCATGACTATGTGATTGAAAATACTCTGGCTTAGATTAGAGGAATCCTAACATCACTAAGGACTCCTGGTGTGGCACAGTAGGATAATGTGCTAGACTGCAAGGTTGGTTTGAATCACAAGGTTGGTGGTTCAAACCCACCAGTTGCTCCTTGGAAACCCTCTACAGGGTTGCTATGAGAAGGAACTGACTTCACAGCACTTCACAACAACCAGGTTGTCACTATCGTGAGAGCCAGCAGGGGGTAGCACTTCACTTTCTTAAGAACCAGTGTCTGAGTACTGGAACTAGCAAACTACTACAAATACAAACAGCTGTGAAAAGAAAGTAACTTGTGCATAGTAACCAAAACCAAAGATTGTTTGTTGACTTGTAAAGGAGATTTAGTACTAACTAGATAAGCACTGGAATTTTGGTGTGGCGCTGTGGGATAACGCACTGAATGGTTTGAACAACAAGGTTGGTGGTTCAAACTCACTAGCTGCTCCTTGGATACCCTTTATAGGGTTGCTATGAGTTGGAACCAGCTCTACAGCATTTAACAACAACAGATAAGTACTGAACTGCAAAGTTGGTTTGAACCACATGGTCAGTGGTTCAAACTCACCATTAATCCTTGGCAACCCTATACAGGGCTGCTATGGGTCAGAACCGACTTGATGGCATCTAGGAACAACAACAACGTTTGATCGGAATGTTTTTAAGTATTAAACTATTAGTGATTAAAAAGCTAATAATTAAAATTTGGTTTTAAGAAAACGACATTTAAAGATTGTAACTAATGCATTTGAGTTGTGGTATTGGAGGAGAGTATTAAAAGTATCATGGGCTGCCAAAAGAACAAACCTGTGTTGGAAAGAAGTACAGTCAGAATGCTCCTTAGAAGCCAGCATGGCCAGACTTGGTCTCTCATACTTTGGACATACTATTAGGAGGGACCAGTCCCTAGAGAATGCTATCCTGCTTGGTGAAGTGGAGTGTCAGTGAAAAAGAGGAAGACCTCCAATGAGATGGATTGGCACAGTGGCAGCAGCAGTGGGCTTGAGTGTAGCAAGGATTGTGAGGTTGGCGCTGGACTTGGCTATGTTTTGTTCTGTTGTGCATAGGGTTAGTATGAGTCAGTACCAACGATGGCACCTAACAACAACAACAGTGATGGTCTGATGGTCAATTAAGCCAGAGATGTCTTAAAAATCTTACAATAATAAGCAGTGAAACACACAATTGAAATGTTGATGCTGCAACCTTGAATAATATATAACTAACATTGTTGAAAAACCAAGAGGGTGTATGGTGAAGCCTCCTGTTCCCAGGACTCCAGTTCACCTCTATGAAAGCAACCAATATACCAAGATTTGGGGTCTTTTCAGAACTTCTTTTAGTGTATGAATGGACTAAAGATAGTATGTCACACAACTGTTCTACACCTTTCATTTTTCATTATATGA